TCAATTTGATTAACTATTAATAAGATATGAGTATCTGACCCTTATACTCTCATAAACTCAGAGTTAATCAAATTAAAAAAAATTTGCCAATCTGAGGGTTAAAAATGTATTATTTGTATTTAATTATAAGAAAATTTATATATGTTTTTCATGTTATAAATCTATTTGTATTTCCTTTCCTATGAACCACCTGCTCATGTCCTAACACTGTTTTTCTACAAGACTGTCATCTTTTCCATGTGGGTTTTTAGGAAGTGTTTATATATTACTGATATTAGTGTATTATTTGTCACATACGCTAGAAACACTTTTTCCTAGTTTGCCGCGTCTTTTGCCTTTATGCTTTTTTCCTTAGGTCATGCAGAAATCTCCAATTTTTAGTAGTCAAATGTATCAATTCTTTCTTTTATGGCTTCTAAGCTTTATTTCATACTTAGAAAAATATTCTCCATTTGGGGATTACAACAACTATCTCGTGTTTTCTGTGGTACTTCAGGGTTTCATTCTTCACATTACATCTTTGGACTATCTGGAATTTATTCTGGATAAGACAGGCATTCCACTTAATTTTGTTCAAGAGAGCTACCAGGCATTCTGGCATTTACTGAATCCATCTTCTCACCACAGACGAACAGTGACCTTCAAAAGCTCATCTATGGCAGAAAGACATTGCCACCTCCTCTGTACACTAGCTGTCACTACTGAGAACACAGAATCCATCGGAACGAATTAGACTTGCTTCAGATATGCTAGTAGACTGAGATCTTCTCCAGTTCTACAAAGCAACATTTCTGTCAAGCGCATTTCCAGCAGACATCAACTGGCTTGACAGTTATCATTATAACTACAACAGTAGTGAGCTGATATGGAAGGGTCTATTGGGTTTTTAAATTTATTTCTACTTACATACTCAACAGGGCAATCATAAAAGAATGTAAGAATTATTCAGAATATCTTCCCAATGGTCAAGTCTGAATTGTTCTTCTAACTTGAAGTTTACAGTGAATTTATTTAGAATAAGTAAGCTGCAGTACTTACAACACAGGTAACAGATGGTTTCACTGCACAGTCAAAAGTGACAGGCTTCCCATAGATACAGGAGAAATTTGTTGTGCAGTCTATACAGTCTGCAGGAAGTCTGCTACACAAACCATTGCTTGGACACTTCATCACATAAGGTGGGATTTCAGTACTTTCTGTGAGAGGCAAGAGAGAAGCTTATTTTTCTATAACACTGATTCGAATAACAGAGAACCATCTTCTAAGGTTAAGAGACATGATCATTAGCAAGTAGACACTACGCTGGAATGAGAGAAGCATGGCACTGGAGTCACAGACACCTGCAATTAAAGCAGAATTCTGCCAACAGACAGCTGTGTGACCTGGTGAGCACCACACTTGCAAAACATTACTTCATTCCTGCCTCTCAAGTGGCCGTGAAAACTAAAGGTGCTCATATACAAATAATGCATAGAAAATTCTGGGTATACATTAGGGGCTTAAAAAAAGACTATCATTTTGTAAGCTGAAAAACTAAAACAGTAGGGTTTGTGCAAAATCTTAGAGGAAGTCTGTGGCAAAACTGGAACTAGAACCCAAATCTCTTCATTTCCAATCCAATGTTCTTTTCATCTGAATTCACTAATTTAGAAATGAAGCCACTGACATCCTCAGGGCATCAACTTGAAAATGTCATTATTTCACAAGGGTACTTCGATAAGCCACGTTTGCTAATATAATATTTACAGTTTTATGCCACCAAAGTTCAAAATAGTTCTCTATTTTAATGACATCTTCAGTGAGCTGCAACTTATTTCCAACCAACCTCATCAGTGTGCAATATATTTTTACCAACTGAGAGGATCAAAATTGCAAGTATTTCTGAAAAGAAGGGCTTTCAAAAGCCTGCAAGAGTTAAGAACTCTTGTGCTTTCTCTAAAAAGTAATTTGAGTTTAAAATTTAAGTGCACTGCTGTTTTTTACACCCAAATAAGAATCCGTAAAATACCTCTGCCAGTTTCAATTCACTGAAGTAATGTGACTCTAAAGTGATGAAATTAGACTCAAAGCCTCCACCTAGCAAAACAACTAATGCTTGTTTAAAACTGGTCCTACTTTACTCACTGTATTAAGTGAACAATTCTACAAAATACTTTTTTCTTTGATCCCATGACTATGTGGCTGGAAGGTGGACACTTAGAATCACAAAGCAGAAATGACTTTAGGCCGTTAGACCAACCCCATAGCTTTAACGGTGAGGACCAAGGTCCAAAGGGGATAAATAATTTGTTCAAGATCCCAGTAGCAAAACCAGATCTAGATTTCAAGACTCCATCAGTCCCTCTGTAATCCTTCCATTTCACACAGTCCTGGGGGAGCCTTTAATATCCAACATCAGGAACAAGGTTCTAGAAGTAGAGGAAACCTGCTGAAGGGAAAGAAGCACTGACTGAAGGTTATTTTGATGGATGAAGTGGAAAAATAACAGAAATAAGGAAACAAATGAGCGCGGGATTGGAAAAAGAGATGAGGCAGAAACGTCAAAAGGTATCCAAATACCAAGACTATCCACTGAAAATGGCTGTGTATCTGCCCTTAATTCACACCATCTACAATACAATAAAATATTCAAAAATGGAAAGTGACTTCGTATACTAAAGGAAATTTTTATCAAAAACAAAGAGAAACTACTAGATATAAATACACATATTTACCAGAATAGAAAATGTCTAGTACCTGCTGCCCTGGGAACTACTGTGAATGTGCGTGTTGGGCCCGGATCCTTTATTGACTGAGCCAGCGCCTGCGATTGCTCTAAATTTAAGGATCGTACAATTAGAGAAACATGTTATCCCGGGACAAGAAAACCTTGTTTTGTGTGGTTAACACGGCGGGTCTACACCAGGTCAATAAGCTGCTCATGAAAACCTCACGGCTTGGCAGCCAGAAAACACAAAGCTCAGGGACGAAACGTCAACGGGGTAGACACCAGAGACCGAAGGATGGCATCGCGCTCCAGTTCCGCCTTCCCGGCCGAGCCCCCAAGCGCTCCATCTCCGTTCCAGGGCCCCCGCAGCCGCGATGGGCGGCTCGGTGTCGCCGGAGCGGAGGGACGGCCTCGGGCCGAGAGGCCAGGGCGCCAGAGTCCAGATGCAGCGACATGCCGCCCGGAGCCTGGCACTCGGCCTCCTCCCCGCGTCAGCCTCTGCCCTTGGGCCCGGCCTCCTCGCCACTCCAGGGGCCCTGCTGCCACTCAGCCCCACCGGCGCTGAACCCAGCTTTTGACTCACCACCGCCCGACAGAATGCAGAACTGCGAGAGGAAGAGCAGCACGCGACACAGGGCGCGGAGGCCCCGCAGCGGGCGCACCCCACCTGCCATCTTGCCAGCGCGTGCGCACTTCCAGTCCTGGGGGCGGGCCCTGCGAGGCGGCGCGCGGGCTGATGCGTGGAAGCGGGCGGGGCGGGGCGGGGCGGGGCGGGGCGGGCGCGCCTGGGAGCTGGAGCGTGAACTGGACGCAGGCGCGATGCAGCTCCGTACGGCTGGCGTCTGCGCTTTCGCTGACCCCGCGCTGGTCGCGGGTTTTCTTCGGGTTGCGCCCTCCGGGAGGTCCCCGAGGAGTATGGGAGCCTGGGAGGTTGCTCCGTTTCCACGCGCCCCTCACGCCCTTGGAAGAGGCCTTCACCCCTCCTTCCACTGTAGGAGACCGGTTAAAGGTCATCCGTGGACCGAAATGCACAGCTAAAGCAACCAAGTGCAGAGGCGGGCAAATGTGGGAGGCAGGCCGCTCCAGTGTATGGTCGGATGTCGAGTGCTGGAACTTGTGCGAAGATTCTGAAGACAGTATCGCTTGGCGTTTCATTCTAAAGACTTATTTACAGTCGGGGAAGCGGCCCTGGGACGACGGGGACCTGAGGGACCCCTCCCTTGGGGCCAGCGCTCAGGCCTGCCGCGGCTTTCACTTCTGGCCGGCCCTTTGAAGATACGCAGCACTTCCAGAAAGTTCATCTCAGACCTGGAGAAGCAGGATGGCCCGAGGCGCTGGGAATTGAGGGGAGGGTCCAGAGCACAGCCCTGCCTGGGGAAGGTTGGCCGTCTGGGTAGCCGCACTCAGGCCCCAGCTCATGGAGACCCTTGCCAGTTTCTATCACAGCACACCTGGAAGGAACGTGCTGGTGACATGTGCTCTCCTCCCACCCACGTGCTGCAGGAGCATTTATTCCGGGGTCTTCTGACTACCACCCCCTCACGTGCATGTTTGCTGAATGATTTTTAAAAAAATACATGGAAAAGTGCCTGCACATAAGCCCTGAATGTTAGTTTTAAAAATCGTATCACGGCTGGGCGCGGCGGCTCACGCCTGTAATCCCAGCACTTTGGGAGGCCCAGGCAGGCGGATCACGAGGTCAGGAGATCAAAACCATCCTGGCTAACACGGTGAAAGCCTGGTGGCACGCGCCTGTGGTCCCAGCTGTTTGGGAGACTGAGGCAGGAGACTCGCCTGAACCCGGGAGGCTGAGATCAAGCCACTGCACTCAAGCTGGGCGACAGAGCGAGACCGCGTCTCAAAAAAAAGAAAAAAAAATTGTAAAAAAATCATTTATCATACAATCTGCACGTAAAACAATCGTATCACAATCTGCACGTTATACTACACAAGTCTGATATATATTGTTTTGTTTGCCAACTGTTTCACTGTTCACATCCCTCAGGAAGTTAACTAGATGATCAGTATATTGAAAAGAGATAATTTCTTACATTTCTTTTGAATTTCACAGCATATTGCAAACTAAACAATACTTCTTGTTTGGTAGCTGAATTCTCTGTTGACATAATGCCATTTTAATTCAGTTCTGAGCAAGTAAAGCATACCTCTGTAAAATCTGAAATCCATTTCAGTATATAAATCCATGGAACGTCATCCCATCAAAAGTAATTTAACTCTAGGTGAGCAGCTTAATTGTAGTAGAAGCCCACAGCTGAAATACTGGAAACACTGATGCAATTCATTCGGGAATTTATTTTTTTCTAAAGCTGAACAAAACCTAATTATGAATTAGAAACATTTAAATGGCAACTCTTAACCTATAGTGCAAACACCAGATTCCACAAAACTGAATTCCTTTGTCAGTAATCCAATATTTAGTAGTAGCTGCTGCTTTTGTGGTTGTTGGTTAGTTAAAATTAAGTAATGATTCCAATTTGAAGATAAAGTTTCAGTGTGAATTTTAGTAAAACAGTCATAAAAATACCTGAGACATACTAGAAAATAAGATTTTCCCTCATGTTAAAAAAAAAAAAACTCTGCAGACTTTTATTTGAAGCCCACCTTTTGAAAAGCACAAATCTTAGCCCTAACATTTCATAATCATTTCCTAGTGTTTTGTTTCACTTTTTCAATGAATAATATTTCCCCATTTAAATTTCTCAAGGCATTGATTGCTGGAAAATTTCCCACACGTGCCCTCTGATTGTCCCTTATGGACATCAGTGAATTAAACTTGGTACATGTCAGCTACACATTCATTGTCTCCTTTCTCAGCTGAGCTTGTGAATGAACCCCCATCAAAGGCTCCAAAGTCTTAGAAGTACTAATATGTTAAGAAAAATACATTTTTAAGGGTCAAAACAAAGTTACACAGAAGCAAATATCAGGGAAGGACTTCAAAAGTCCTCCTCAGCAATGAGTGTCCGTGACTTCTTGAGATTCTTCAGTTTATCAATGGCAGAAGTTACTAAAATCTCTCCATGAATTTTGTTGTCTCTTGTTCGCACGTTTACAGCATTATTTATCTTTTCCTTTTCTCCAACCACTGCAGAAAAGAAAGGTAAAGAAATGTATTTTAAATCAGCAATTTGCCAAATGTTAAGTCAGCAGTCCCATGACAAGTTTTTATCAAGTTTTTATTCGTTATTAATAAATATCATCTAATGAGCATTAGGTTCATCCTCTGATAGTTAAGTTTCTTGAGGGAAGGAATGACTTCTGATCCCATCTCTCTATTGTCCACTTGAGAGAACAGCTCTTGTGGTCCTAGGGTGCAAATGAGAGCAGGGAGCTCTTACAGAGTCACTGACTCCACCTGGCATACCTGATGAGGTGGACACCAGACCCATGCGAGTCAGCCAGAATTTTCTGGAATGTGGGTAAAAAGTTTGTTCTCTCTAGTGACCCATATTGTGAGATGAAGCAGGAATCTACAGCCATGCTTCTTGCCATACAGAAGGAGGAAACCAGTCTGCAGACAAGCAGAACAAAGTAGATATTCAAGAGAAGCATAAAGAACCAGAGCGAGACACGAACCAGAAATGGGAAGAAATAGTCCTGGTGAGGGTTGGGCTCCTGATTGCTCTTCTAGTGGTTTGGCTATTTAATTCTACCTTTCATGTCATGGGATACTCCAAGACCCTTCCAATAAATGCTGTCTTTGTCTAAACCAACTTGAGATTTCTGCCACCATAAGAAGCCTGATTTAAACACCACAATACCTACTATGATGTCAAACATTATCAATGAAATGCTGTCAATAGAACAACACTATGCATATTTATTTTGCCTTCTACAGACTCTCAACTTACAGGAAATAGCAATACTATGCCTGCAGTTAAATCAGTGTTAGTTTCTCTTAATTTTGGAATCATTTTTAAAGCCTAAATTTTAGATTCTGCATCGAATTAGTCATGTGCTAAAAGGACATTTTACTTTTCATCTAAATCTTTTCCTTTGGATCATTTTAAATTTGGGATCTTTTCTTTCTATTAGTTTAAACTTTCCTAATAAGCCAGAAAAGTGAGGGAAAATATTAGAGGCCTGTGAGGCTGAAATATAAAGTATATAATTCTACTGATGGGATCATTTTCACAGTTGTTTTCATTGTTGGCATGCAATACTAACTATTGCTAGTAAAACTATCCCAGAGGATTCAGGTGAAACTTTATAACTCTTCTTCCAGCAAACAATAAAGAATACCTAGGAACAGCTAAGCCAGGAACACTATGGACTCTTCTTTTTGTATAAGTATTAAGTAGTTGAACCATATTTATTTGGCCTTTTGGAATTGAAGTAAAAAAAAAAAGCATTTGGAAAAATATATACAAACTTAAATTACCCAAAATAAAATTATACTGAGCCAGCTGTGCATTTCGTATTTTCTTATTTAGTGTACAATTATGATCTAAGTCAACGTCAGCCATAAATCCTTCTTCAAAAAATTCACTGGATACCTAGAAGAAAAGGAAACACCTTTATTGTTACATGATGGTCCCTAGCCTCCAAAAAGACCCCTGTTGTTCCCCACTCTTGGTATTCACACCCTTGTATAGTTCCCTGCTCACTATACCAGAGACGGTCTCTGTGACCATAAATAAGTGCAGAAGTGTTGGCACATCATTTCTGAGACTAGTTTATAAAAACCTGCAGCTCCCATCTCTCTCAGATCACTCGCTCTGGGGGAAACCAGCCACCATGCTGTGAGGACATTCAGGCCACTTGTGAAGAAGCCCAGGTGATGAGGAGTTGTATCCACCAACTGTGAGTGAGCTCTGAGGCCTGCAGCCCTGGCCAACAGCCTGACTGCAGCCACAGGAGATGCTCTGTGCCAGAATCCACCAGCTGAGCTGTTCCCAGACCCGGACTCATAGGAACTGTGAGATAATAAATGTTTATTGTTTAAAGCTGCTAAGTTTTGGGGTCACTTGTGATACAGCAACAGATAACATTCTTCCCTAAAAGACCCATGTAGACATGAATACATATGTTTTAAAATACTAATTTCTCAGAAACATTAAGAAATGAAATAGTTCTGATACAGCTGCAGAGACATGATTCATGTGTTACCACCAACTGCTGAAAACATGGTTTAAGTTAATGTGTCAGTTCTGCAATATTTTAAAGCATGAAGGACATTCCAAATTGATGACCTACACAGAATACATGCAAGATTATGATGTACTTTAAACATCTCTGATTTTACCTGAAGTGCATATTTTTCACAAGTTGGCCCCACAGGGATGACCATTACCTGACGAGGAGATAGCCAGAAAGGCCTGAAAAATATATAACATATGTATTTTCAAAGTATAATAATGGTTACTTATTACATGATTTTCAAATAACCAAAGATTCTTTTAAAGACTTCACAAGAGGGCAGTTTCAGTAGAGCAGCATGGAAGAAAACCAAATTATATTAAAGTTTGAAGGCAGCAAAGTAAACAAAAGGATAATTTTGGAATTTTGATAGCACAAGTGTAGGCAGAATGAGCTGGCAGACAGCCCAAAGGGCTGATCATGCACTTACTGTATGCCCCAGCAACTGCACTCCTGGGCACTTGTCCCAGAGAAATGAAAGCATATGTTCACACACGATACTGCACACTAATGTCCACAGCAGCTTTAATCAGCAAAAAAAAAAAAAAAAAAAAAAAGGAACCAACTAATTTATCTCAAAACAACATGGATTGCTTTCAAGGGAATTCCACTGAGTGAAAAGAAGCCTACTTCAAAAGTTTGTGTACTGTATAAATTCATTTATGTAATATTCTTTATATGATAAAATGATGGAGCTAGAGAACACGTTCATGTGTTGTCAGATAAGAGGACAGGGGTGGGATGGTTTGAGTGTGGGGAAAAAAGGGGAGCAGGAGGGAGCCTTACAAGTGATGGAACTGTCCTGTGCCTTGACTGGTGGTATTACACCATCTGTCTATGTGACACAGCTAGATACACATTCACGCAAATGAGTGCATGTGAGGCTGGTGAAATCTGAACAAGGTTGGTGGATAGTCTCAATGTCTACTTCTTGGTTGTGATACTGTATCTAGTTTTGCAAGATGTTACCATTGGGGAAAACTGGGTAAAGTGTGCTGAACCTCTCTGTATAACTTTTTTTTTTTTTTTTTTTTGAGATGGAGTCTTGCTCACCCAGGCTAGAGTGCAGTGGCGCGATCTCGGCTCACTGCAACCTTCGCCTCCTGAGTTCAAGTGATTCTCCTGGCTTAGCCTCCTGAGTAAATGGGATTACAGCCATTGCCACCACACCCAGCTAATTTTTGTATTTTCAGTAGAGATGGGGTTTCACCATGTTGGCCAGGCTGGTCTCGAACTCCTGACCTCAGGTGATCCACCCACCTCAGCCTCCCAAAGTGTTGGGATTACAGGTGTGAGCCACCACATCCGGCCTCTGTATAACTTCTTACAATGATGTATGAACCTACGATTATTTCAAAATACCATTTTTCTAAAAAAAAAAAAAAGATGGCAGGGTAGGTATAAGCAATGTCTGCTGTGGGGCATGTTTGCCTTTTCCCTGTCATATTGAGTATTTAGTGTGAAAGTGAAAGGATATGCAAAGAGGACTATTTCAGATAGCACTTTATGAATGTGAATATTTATATATTTATTTTCAAATTACAAACACAAAATAATACATGATAAATGGTAAAACACAGAAATACAGGTTATATAATAGAAAGTACATGTTTTCTTTTGAGCTCTGTCCTTACCCCATCCTCAGCCCTACTTCCCTAAAGGACCCACATTTTAGCCATCTTTACTTTTGGCTCCTGGGGAGATTTCCCCACAAGCCTGACTGCTGTCTGAAGTCTGGATGTATGAAGTGCAGGGATTATACCTCAGTCACTGCGACAAAGGGAGGCATGCTCAGTGCACTGGCCCCAACCACCTCCTGTCTCCCTCTCCATCTCCTATTTCACTAGTTCTCTCTCTTTTTTTTTTTTTAAAACCACTTTCACTGCAACCATTCTAATGCAAGACACCATCATCTCTCACCTATGGTAAACTGTTTAAAACCAACTGGAAAGAAATATAAACATGTTAACTCATACTCAGGTGGCACACATATTCATATCCATACTTTTGGGTTAACTGTAACTTCAACAGCTTAGAAACTCCATGATACCTAAGTGTATTTCTCTTTGATCACAAAATATCAGGAATATACACAGACTCTCCAGCTACCCAGGACTTTTGGAAGACACTTTGTTTGGGACACTTCCCACCTTATGTTTCCTGCTCAAAAATTTGCTTCCCCAGCCTCGCTGGGCATGAATGCTAGTATGCATGGGTGTGATCTAGGTTCTGCTAATGTATAAACATGGCACTCTGACTTAAGACAGAGTGGAGAAGGAGGCACCACATGGAATCCATTCTGGCAAGGAAGGGTGATGCAGAGACATGGAGCTTTTGGAGGAACTGGTTGCAGTGACCCTAGCAGTATCATCCAGTGCCCAGTGTCCACAATGGGAGCTGCAGGGACTGAGCCCAGCAATCGTAGCAGTGGGGGCAGTAGTTTCTGAAAAGAGAACTAAATTGCATGAGCAGATGCTCAGCCAATTTCTAAAAATGGAATGGGAGGTAGAAATTTCACAGGTGGTTACTGGTTTGCAGCATTTCCACATACTAGGATGCATCATCACAAGATGTTGTCTGCCAGCTGGTGCCATAACTGCTAGTAAAGCTACTTGCTTCTGAGTGCATGGTGACAGTAGTGAATCCCATAATGTCAGTGCAATGCTTATTTGCTATAAAATCTCTTTCATAGTCAGAAGCACTGTTGTGTTGCTGGCAGCACATAAGTACATATTTGGTGCCACTGGCAGAAGCATGGCAGCAAAGAAGAGCAAAGCAAAATCCACAGAGGGTCTCTCTTCAGTGAGAACGAGACATTGGTCCTTACATGACGAAAGGGATTCAATGTAATCAACTTGCTACAAGACCACTGGCTGTTCCCCCAGGTTATGGTACCATCCTGGGGGATCACAACTGTGATCACTACTGATGGCAACCAGAATCCTCAGAAGAGATGTAGCCAGATGGAACTTAGTGAGGCAAAGTCCATATTGTTGAGCCCTTGCATATCCACCAGTGGCCACTTTGCCCATGAGCCACTAAGCAACAACTAGGGAAAAAAAAATAAGCTGATTTTAACAGAATGGGTCCTCTTGTATTAGAATATTGAAAAATTCCTCAACAGTGGGGGCCTTTTGATGGCAATACCACCTCTGTTGGCCCATTCTGAGTGATCATCCACATTTCTGCTTCCCAAATCTATGTAATTCATTTTTCAGTCTAATTACTTCTAGATCTTTGACCTTGTGGCCAAAGCAGTAACTAAAGCCCATGCATCCATGTAGCTCCATACCTCCGGCCATTCTTCCTTCCAGGCAAAAAGGACAACAAGATGCACCACTCAAAATTTTGCACTTTAGGACACTTCCTTTCCCCACTGTCATCCTAATTGGGCTGTGCTGCTAAGTCATCCTCTTTGAGTTTGTGCCATTTATGAATCAGGTTTACATGTTTTTCTTCTCAGTGGCTGTAGGGAACCCCAAAGGCAAACAATATGGGTTGAAGGAAGGATGGCTGGAGGGCAAGAGGTGGTACCTAGGAGTGTGGGTCACATGTTTTCAAGACAGCAACTAGATCTTTGAAGGGCTTGAAATAGGTAAAAAGATAACTTTAATTCTACCGAGTCCCGCAAAAGGTAAATGGTACATTTTTATGCCACTCTCCCTTAGTTTTTGTTTTCTGATCTGGCAAATGGAATAAGAATTCTTTATTTGCTGTTTGGATACTTGCTAATTGTAAGGGAGGAAATGCCCTTTCTTTTGTTACTACTTTTATCTTTTACACATGATGTTTTAAGAATAGAAATATTTTTAAAAAGGAAAAATAAGTAAATTAACAAAAATTAAAAAGAATAATAGACATATAGCTTTTTTTTTTCCATATCACTTACCATTTTCCCCCATAGTTTTCTGAAAGAATGGCTATCATTCTTTCCACTGATCCCAAAATGGCTCGATGAATGATCACAGGTCTCTTCTTATCATCCCCATCCTTACTAAAAAATGAAAATTATACATTTAAGTCTTTTCCTAAGAGTCAATAACTATCTTCTAGCCTTATATTTTGAGAATAGATTTAGATTAGTGATATCAGATATCTCTCCATTAACCTTATTTGTTCTGTGACTGTCTTGTTTTCTCATTGCTTTGTTTCCTAATCTTTTTTCTTTTATTTTAAAAACTTTAATTAGAGAACACTGAAACATATACAAAAGTAGAGAGAACAGTATAATGAACTTCCACATACCCTCTCTCAGGTTCACAAAATGTCAACTCCCAGTCAATCTCATCTGATCTAAATGCACCCCCATTCTTGCCACTATCTCCCACATTATAATCTTCATTTTTAAAATGTTCCTGATATGTGTTCTTGAAGTCCACTGGTCAAATTCCCTGAAACCCTCGTGAGGTATACCTTACATTTAATTATTCCCTCTCCCCCTTAGGAAAAAAAAAATGAAAAAAGCAATGATGAGTTAATTGTAATGAAGTCAGCCACTTCAAGATTTCTGCACAAGTTTCTCAGAAAGATAAATTTCACATTATTGCAACAAATGTAACATGTGACACTTACAAAGTTCTTGTGACAAATTTTTATCTAAAACTTATACCAGATAGCTACTACTAAAATAAATAAAACAAATTTAACAAATAAATAATAAAGTAAAACAAACAAATAAAAACAGAGAAACCCATTCATTAAACCTACTTCAAATGAGTTATAACTGGATGTCATCACTGCCAGCCATTTCTGCTAAGAGCCATTGTAAAATAACTGCAGGCAAAACCCTCTGTCTAGACCCTACAGGAAGCTTTGGGGTAGGGGTGGGCGGCTTGAGTCCATTTCTATGCAGGTATATGAAGAAATTAATCCCACAAACTGAAACCAGTATGAAATATTCCTGAATATTACATCATATTGATTTTGTGTGGGGAAGAAAGAGAAGCAAGCTGATCCTTTCACAGAGCCTGGGTATCCAAAATTTCTGTCCCATCATCTCTTTTAATCATGTCTAGACTTAAGAAGAGCAAATAGTGACATAAACTATGATTACACATCTATGCTATCAGATAAACGTTGCAATGAATGCCAAATTCCCCCAAAATAACCCCAGTGGATTTGCTTACAATTATATTAGATTAATAGATAAATTTGAAGAGAATAACTTCGCAAATGTTGATTCTTCTCATTCCAAAGTGTGGTGTGAATCTTCATTTAAATAACTTTTTTATGGTATTTGAGAAAATTTTATAGTGTATGCTTATAAATAACATCTATAGTCATGTGTTGCCTAATGACATTTTGGTCAACAATGGACTGCATATATGATGGTAGTCCTATGAGATCACAAAGAAGCTGAAAAATTCTTATCATCTAGTGATTTGTGTTACAAGCACCTACAGCATTCAGTACAGTAACATTCTGTAAAGGTTTGTAGCTAGGAGCAATAGGCTATCCCATATAGCTTAAGTGTGTAGTGCCCTATTATCATCTACGTTTGTGTAAGTACACTCTGTGATGTTCACACAATGACACATTTCTCAAAACATATCCTTGTCATGACTATATTTATGGGGATGCATGACTATATTTATATTTATTGTTAAGTTTATTCATATTTTCTATTTTGTTGTTGCTGTTGCTTCTGAAATGTTTTTTTTCCATTGCATTTCCTAGCAGATTATTGCTAATATTATAAAGCCAAATTGATTTTTGCATTTCTACCTTCCTTTATTATTAGTCCCATTTTCTCCATTTGATTCTGTTGGATTTCTCTATATTTTAACATCTACAAATAATGTTATCTCTTTTTTCTCTTTTTTTATCTCTTTCATGTATTTGTAATCTCAGAATAATTTTGAGTAACAATACAAATAGTAGTCATATTCATCTTCTTCCCAACTGTGCTGAGATGTTATTGCTGTTTTCTGATAAAGGCTCTTTATCATGATAAGGAAACTTTTGTTCATTTCACAGGAATGAATGTTAACTTTTATCTGATGCCTTTCTGCATGCTGAAGATAATGAATGACAGCAGCACACTCTCATCCATCCCTGCTTTTTCAGGGAAAAACCCTTACTCAATTATGGTGATGACCTTGATGCTTCTCTCTCCTCTTATATATAAGCCTGAGCAAATCACATCAGTTCTTCCTCCAAAATACACCCCCAGTGCCCCTACTTTGTTCATCTCTATGCCATCTGGCTCCAACTGTCATCGTTTCTTACCTGATCTGCAATCCACTGCTTTCACTTTTGCTTGCCTACTCGCCGTTTGCCACACAACACCTATGATGGCTGGCTGGGCTGATTTGTTTCTCCTCCACATCGTCCTTAAATGAGGAGTTTCACTTGCATTCTGATGGCCCTAAAGAATTTTGTTGTAGGACTGATCCTGAAGGTTTGACTTCTTACTAATAGTTGTGACCCTTGTTCCTCCAAAAGGGAGAGATTAGGCTTTTCAGAGTCCTACTAACTCCACTGTACCAATCAGCAGAAAGTTAGGGGTCAAATCCCAGAAGCTTTTCCATTTTGGCACATGGTGTGACCTATGGGACTTGGCCACTGGGTGGCGAACACATGGAACAGATCTGAATATCACTATAAAGGCTTCGATAACTGAACTGACACCGAACCACAGCCCACAAAAGTGGGTTGGAAATTTCCACCTGAACCTAACCAGGCAGATTCACTGCCAAAACAAGACAACCTCCTTAGGATTTAAAGAAGACACAGCATCTCATAATATTCAAAATGTTCAGGATATAATCCTAAATGACTTAGCATATGAATCACTGGAAAATTCTCAATTTGTGAGAAGAAAAGACAAACAACAGTCCAGCACAAGAAAACACAAATGATGGAATTACCAAAGGCTAGAAACAGCCATTATAACTGTACCCTAAAAAGTAGGGTAAACACACCTGGAGTGACTGGAAAGACTTAAAGTCTCAGCAAGAAATATAAAATATGAGCAATAGACATTGTAGAATTGAAAACTACAATGACAGAAAGTTTTAAAGAGTCATTAGATGGATTCAGTAGCAACAGAGATGATAAAGAGTTGGTGAATTTGAAGATAAGTAAATAGAATGTATCCAATCTGAAAGATATACAATGAAAGACCGAAGGAAGCATAAACAGCCTCAGAAAACTGGAAAAATACCAAAAGGTCTAATATTCAGGTCACCTGAGTCCCAGAAGAAGAGACATAGCAGAAAAGAAATATGGAAAAACAATGGCTGAAAACTATCCAACTTTCACAAACCAATAACTTACAGATCCAAGAAGTTCAAACCTCCACAACATAAACTTGAGTAAGTCCACAGTCAGACACATCACAATCATGTGACACATAAAGGAAAAGTGACTCAAATTACTGCATATTTCTCATCAGAAACCATAAGAGCCAGAAGGATGTGTAACAATATTTTTTGTGTTTTTACTTTGCAAGAAAATATACAACTTAAAAAATAAAATCTCCAAACTAAGCAGTTCATCAAAAATATTTCGGCCTACAGCCTACAGAAACTGCTACCATTTAGAACTGTACAGCATTATCATCTCAGTGTGTAGTGGCACACATGCAAATAGAATAGACCATACGAGGACACATTACAACTTAGGAAGTCACATTTGTTCAACACTGTAAACAACATATAGTGTAGTTGACAGGAAAGCTCTCATGTAATGTTTATTTCACAAACATGACCTTGGAAGAATAAGATAGCATCTCAGTTATTTACATAAAAATAGAAAAATCAGCTTGAGTTTAAGGTGGCAAATCTTTCTGTAAAACTAGCCAATCTTTCACCCAGATTGAAGTTTTAAAATTTGCTCTTTGAACAGGGATAATGACATCTTACTGCAAATAATGTAAAATATTTTTTAACTACTCAGGTCATATTTTGTATTAAATTTAATAAAAAGTAAAAGTAAGAAAGCTAAGTTTTTACTTTGGGAAATGTTAACATTTATGCACAAGATGAGAACAAGACTTAAAAAAACAACTTGATAGAACTCAGGAACCCCTCCAATAAATGTAAACATTGGAAGACTTCAGAATTTATTTAAAGATCCTCACTAAATCATTGGAGCAGTAATGTTCTAATATTTATGTCATTGTAAGCATCAAAATTGTTCTATATTTTCACTACATAAATTTTATTTCATGTCTACTCTGGAAATGAGATGCAACAAAGGTTAACACAAAAATGGATGTCTCTGTTTTTAAATTAGAAGATGAGTGTTCTGGGCCAGGAGCAGTGGCTCACACCTGTAATCCCAGCACTTTGGGAGGCTGAGGTGGGTGGAGTTAAGGAGTTCGAGACCAGCCTAGCCAACATGGTGAAACCCTGACTCCACTAAAAATACAAAGTTTAGCCAGGCATGGTGGTGCATGCTTGAAGTCCCAGTTACTCAGGAGGCTGAGGCAGAAGAATTGCTTGAACCCAGGGGTCAGAGGTTTCAGTGAGCCAAGATTGTGCCACTGCACTCCAGCCTGGGCAACAGAGCAAGACTCCATCTCAAAAAAAAAAAAAACACGAGTGTTCAAAGTTTGCATTAACCTCAGAAGTGTCCTCTTGCCATACTACTAATTTAATATATATATTTAAACAATATTTTTAAAATATTAAAAGTAAGTAACTATCAACCCAGAATTGTACAATCAAAGAAGAAAGTTATTTTCTTTGAAAGTACAACAAAATAAAGACATTCTCACATGAAATAAAATAAGGCAATTCATCTCCAACTGATCTGCTTTCAATAAACTTTTTTTTTCTGTTATATCTTCAGATACATGAGAAATGATACTAGAGAAAACCCTGGAACATCAGGAATGAAACAAGATCCACAGATATGGTAAATATTTGATAAATATAATGTTCTCCTAAGCTCTTTAAAATGTACTATGATTGAAAACAAAAATTATAATATTGCTTATGAGGTTGTTAATGTGTATGACATGTAGTATGTAGTATGCCTTCCAAAATT